TTTATTTAAAAACATTTTTGCTGTTAACAAGCATGTTACCTCTGGAGACACAAATCCACAGTTTGAGAACTGCAAAACTAAGCATCTCTGATGGTATCTTCTAGTCTGAGCACTGAGTCCCGTTAGGTAGATAGAAAGATTAGTCTAAATAATCTATACAGAAGCTCCTGGAACTCCATAAGATTGGGTCCCTAATCCATGAACTATTGGAACTCATTTACAAAACTTTTCTTAAACGTGACATGAATACTGTCTCATATTATAGAATTAGAATTTATAATCCCTATTCCACGATGAGAGATCTTTGAGCTATAATGTATCTTAATTAAAACTCTTTTAGCTAAGTTTTTCCTCAAAAAGCATTTTATCAAAAAAATCGGGTATATATAATTTTTAAATCGTTTTTATCCACCTTGTGTACACTACACAGCTTTTAGCGACATGGCTGTGTCTCTCCTGCCAACAACGCACTGTTCACATTGACACTTGTCGCAGCAAAACTTTTGTCTTTTGGGGGAGGGGCGGGTGTTTAAGACACAAGTTTTGTCATTCAATTGCCAGCGTAGACCTGGCCTTAGTCACTAAGAGACCGTACCACTGAGACATGTTATAATTTACTGGATTTTCAGGAGCTGGTGGTGGCTTAATCTCTAACTTCGAGCAGTTGGTGAGAGGTGTTTGGAAACCTGAAAGCAATGAACTTCTGAAGATGTCCTAGTAAGTTTGTGTAACCATAGTACAACTGGAATCATTGTAATAACTTTGTTCTCTTTGGCTCTTGCGTTCAAAGACCTACATGAGTAATTTTCTTGGTGCAGCGTTTAAAAACAGGTGCTAGTAGACTGCTTATAAATTCAAAGTAAGTGGGTCCAAATCTTTACTATGTGTTGGCTGGCCTGGCCTATGTGCAATGAGTTGTTAGTCTCAAATGATTTCCTCATGAATAATTGTCTCCACTACAAAATTACCCCAGAATTGGAACTAACTGGTAAACATGTTGGCTACTTGTGCAGAGGACAATCATTTGAATGGGCAAGAAAAATTAACCTCCTCTTCCAGACCTGTGGTTCATCCAACTCAGAAATGAAGCACATTGTGGCAGGGTAATGTGAGTGTCACGTACAGTCCAGCATGTGCTGGTACGTATTCTGAAGGTAGTTAGATGACTTTAGGACTGCCAGTCTAGTGGATATATTCCACCAATGCTAAATACTTTATTTAAAAACCAAACAAAACAACCAGTTGCACTCTTCTGAACACACTTTCAAGCCATCTGTTAAATATATAGCATTAAAACACGTCAACACATGCCTCTGGTGCATTGCAAGATAGAAGATGCTACTTGAGTTTCAGCTTTCAGTTCTTTGTCTCGCAGAAGCTAAATTGGGAGTGTTACATAGCACCCAGTTTAGCTTCTGCAAAAGAGAGAATTGGAACTGGCTGGCAGGCCACAAAATACTGCTGTAAAGGGAGACAAGCTCACAGGGGATTTAAAAGGTCCACTTTGCCGTCCCATGTGACTTCCCAGCTGGTTTCTGTGGACATGATTATTTCAAAAACAGGGTTCTGACTTTTGAGGAGAGAAACATTTAGGGATGCTGTTTTCATGTAACTGTCCTGGGTAATAAAGAATGACAGAAGAGAAATACAAAAATTACGAGCAGCACTATTTCCAAAAGGAAGGATTGTGAGGCTTATGGTGTCAGCTGCACCTGAATACTTCAAACTTAGTGAAATAAGTAATTTATGCTAGTTTACAACACTGCAGTCACTTTCTTCTTTAAAAAATGTGCTAGCTGAAGGAAGAATGAGTTTTAAATGTTAAAAATTGTGGTATTGCATCTAGTCTTATGAAGGATAAAAGCTGAGATTGCAATATGCCAGAACAGAGAGGTGTTGGACACAAATCATTGTCCTCACACCCTGAAATTATTTTGGTTAAAAATTCCCTTGACAATTTTTTTCAAATGTTCTCCTTTGGTTGTAAAGCTAAATGCATGAATCTAATTAAAGGTGTGATAAGAAATGAAACTTGACGAATCCCAAATCATAAGAATATAAATATACAAGTAGAGTTATACTACTGGCTTCCTGATCAGGGGAAAGATACTGAGTGCACAAAGTTGAGGGTGAACAGAGGGAACTAAGTCTAATAAACAGTAACCATGGATGATTCCAGCCTCCTATAAAGTAGTCAAATGTCGCAGCGGTCTAAGATTTAGACAGGCAGTTTCTTGACACCTTAAATGCTTGGTTCTTAGAACAGCTTGTTCTAGAGCACACAATGAGGAGAGCTGATACTTAACTCAGTCCCAAGTAACACGTAGGAGTTGACTGAAGTAATAGGTTAAGTTGAACCACTAAGTAATTGTAACTACAGTAAAATTAAGCTGAAAATCCTCCGGGGGAAGAAAGTACCACAAAATGATTAGAGGCATGGCAAAAACTTCCATAAGAAGACTGAGTGCAAATATTGTCACAGTTTAGTTTAGAGGTGACTAATAAAGGGATATATCAGATATATAAATTAAATAATGGTATGGGGAAGGCAAATTGGGTGGAGTTCTTTAAATTCAGGAACAAAGATCTAAGAAATTGAAAGCTTGCAAACTAAAAACTGGTAGAAGTATTTTTTAACAAAACATGTAATTAGCCTGTGAAACATGTTGCCATATTGTTACCACAAGCTTTTTATCATTTACTTTCAGCCGAGCAAATATTATAGTTATATTTTTGTATGCTAAAGTATGCTATTACTTTCCAGATCATAATTTCTATCAGCATAGGATGGGGAGGAGAGAAAATTCACACACTTGCCTTTATTTTGTTTGGTTTCCAGCCCTGTAAAAGTGACTCTGGTAGGTGCAGTACTCTTCACATTGCAACATGCCCAGAACCTACCGATAGCAAGACACAACCTTATGTTCTTTTATACCACCTTTCTAGTGGTCACAAAGGTAAGAATTTGGCAATGTATAATTATTTAAACATATGCAATACAGCAATATTTCTCACTGTACTTTCTAAAGCAAGATGCATGTTGTTGAATATTTCTCTTTATACCCCCCACCAGAGTACTAATTTCACTTTCTGGAGATCTGGTCAAACTCAATTGGTGAAAATGGCATAGCTCAATTGAAGTCAGTGGAGCTACCCCAATACCATGACCCCCATGAGCCTTAAGTAACTCTTCCATATGTGAAGCAGACCGACGGGAAACTCTGCATCATGACCTTTGCTAAGTTGTATTAAAAGAATATTTCAGAAATTTGGCACAGGGAGTTGATATTTCAAGTTACTAAATTATTTGAGAGAGAGATACAATTAAGACACAACAGGTTGTCTTGCCAACCTGTTAATACATGTGGAGCAAAAATGAACTGCAGCCAAAGGCCAAGTGTTTCTAGTCACTGAATACGTTTATAAGTGAATAGAACATGCTCTGTTTGTCTTCATGCTGTTTTTTAAAAGTTTGTAGTTTTGGACACATCTTTCAACTATATAGAAAATAATGGTGAAGGAGAAGAGAAAAATAATGTGAAAAGTGTTTACTATCACTTTGTTTATAAAAAGTGTGGATATGTATATCCACACACATGCATGTGTACACATGCGAGATATATGCACATTATTGTTCTTCCCTTTAATCTTCTTACAGTTGAACTCTATCTATCCCATTCTGCATTTATCTCCTTCTGGAAAGCGGGGCTATATTCAGGACTGTGTTAACCCTAAAAAAGGCAAAGTTGGAATCTCAGTATCATCTGATCTGTAACAATCTTGAAGGTTGCTATTCTGTTCTTGAGATGTTAAAAAATGGGTGAACTATGAAGGAGGGTTTAAAAAGAACAGCCTGCCTCCCCCAGGGCATCCCTAGAAACATTGTTTCTAAAATCTGACTGAGATATTGGGTCTCCTGGGTGCTACAGTAATGCAAGGAATCCTTATCATTAATGCTCCAGACTTACCTTTTCTTAAAACATCTAAACATCAGAGACACTCAGGATACCAGGGATGTGGTGTTAGGAGATAGTTAGGTGTGGCGGAGGGGGTCTGCAGCTTCAGACTCCCTGTACTGCTGAAGCCCGTAGTACAGTGGCACACAACTTTGTGGCACCAGTTCTGCATTGGTGACTTGTTAGGACCTTGAAGTCAGCTAGTAACTGTAATGCACTGCTAGATTGACACAGTTCATGCAAGTCTGACACAGACTTATGAAGTAGTGTCTTGCTTTCCAGACACTTCTGAAACCTCTCTCAGAATCAGGGTGTTACTCTAGTCTTTAGTGTTTGGGTTATAAATACCATATTGGGTCTATTAAGCAGGTCCTTTTTCCCCTTAGTCCTGGAGGAAGTTCTCCCAATAAGTTTGTTTTAACATGGGAGTTTTTTTAAGGATACGTGCGATCTAAATCAGTGATGTCCAACCTTTACTGCTTGGGGGCAATTGAAGGTCAAGGGGCCACAAACACTCTGGGGCAGATTCTTTCTTTCCTCCCATCCTTCCAATCCGCTCAAGTAGTGCAAAGGGAGTGGAATTCAGCCACAGGCCCCCTCTGGGGATTTACCCCAGTGCCTGGAGTCTTCAGTGGTGTAGAACCAGCGTAGCCTCACTCCCCACAGCCTCTGGCACGGTGGCAGTGTTGGGAGCAGGAAGGGGAGGAATGGCTGAACCTTAGGATGAAAACTACAACCAGGAACTAATATTCGTGCTGGAACAAATATTTATGAAGAGTTTGTATTAGCATTTAAAAATCGTATTAGTTAAGATGGTAATTAGTTGCCAATTAGCACAAAACATGACTAAGAATTCAAGTCTAGACAAGGCCCTAGAGTATTTTACAGTAACTTTATTGCTTTGTTTTATATGTCAATTTTTTAAAGATACTTGATTTCAGTGGTCAAGATAAATTTGATAAATCTACAGAGAGCTTCTGTTTCATCTTTCTCATTGGCGTACTCTTCATGCATTTATTAAGCTTAGTTTATTTTCTGTGTGTACACTTAAGTTTATTTGTTGTATTTCAGTCTGAGTTGAAATAAAATCATAGGACTGGAAGGGACCTCAAGAGATCATTTAGTCCAGTCTCCTGCACTCATGGCAGGACTAAGTATTATCTAGATTAGGGGTGGGCAAATTTTTTGGCCCGAGGGCCATGAATGTAGGGCTGGGGTAGGGGGTTGGGATGTGGGAGGGAGTGCGGTGTGCAGGAAGGGGCTCAGGGCAAGGGGGTTGGTGTGCAGGAGGGGGCTCAGGGCAGGGGGTTGGGGTGC